CTGAGGGGGGAAGGCGGGTGCACTGAGGCGAGACTCCCGTCCGTTGGCCCGGTTGGGGTACGATCGAACAGCAGCCGGTGCGGCAGAGACGGCTTTGGAGGGAGAGCGCTTCTCTCGGGGCGTGTCGCCTTGGCACTTTACTCTCTGTCTCACACGAGACGCCGCGAGTCGGCTGGCTGTCTCGGTGTCTGAGAGGCCGTCCGATCAGGCACTCGCTTAGTTTCACAGTCAAGCTCGCTTTGTAGCAGCGTCTCTTTGTACCTTATGCTCGGCATTCTTCTCCGCTTGCCGTCTCTCTGGCGGCTTGAGGTGTCACCGCCGCTACCGTAATAGCGGGAAGCGGCATAACTTCATAACACGGGTGTGTCGGGTCTCCGAGGACAGTGGCCATCACGCTCGCACCTGCCGACCGCCGCCACGGCGGCGAGACGCCTCTTCCGCCACCGCGGCGCCGGTCACAGGCCAGCGCTAGGCAGCTGCCGGCCACACCGGGCCGGAATTTGCCGGTACTCGTCGCCTCGGCCCGCGCGGAAGTGTACTCGGAAAGGCCTCGTGGAGCCGGACAGACGACGCAGCCGCGAAGGGCCCGAGGTGCTTCGCCGACGGTGAGGCGGGCTGTGGTTGGAGCCGCCGGGCGGGAGGCGGGCATGGTCCACCAGCGGCATGGCTGCGAGCACGCTGGCCGGCTCCACGGCACTGTGACCGCGCTGAAGCGGCCCTCGGCAAGGCCCCTGAGGCCGCCGGAGAGCCTAAAAGTGTGAGCGGGTGCGTATATAACGGGAAGGACAGTGCTCCCGAGCCGGCTAGGGCGTTGGAGCACCTATGGAATGGCGCCGATCCCGCATTTTCCCCGGGGCTTACTCGAACCCGCCGCCACCCGTACCTCGCTCCAAACCACGCCGGAGCAGCTCTGGTCGTGCTCGGGACGGGGAGAGGAAAGTTCGGGGCACAAGAGCGTCGAGTAAGCCCCGGGGAAAATGCGGGATCGGTGCCATTACCCGTGGCCCGGGACCCGGCGGCGAAAGTTTGGTCCCGTTCGGCCACACGGACGTTAGCGGCTGTGGTTTCGGCCTGCACCCTCTCACGGCTCCGAGAGGGGCTCGAGAGGCCGGAGACAGGTCCACCTTGGCGCTCGCGTCGAGCTGCGAGGCCGGATCCGAGGCCGCCAGGCCGTTGGTAGCACCAGATGGAAGGCCCGTGCAGCCGATTTTTATACGCGAAAAGTACCCGACGGACTCACGAGGGCACACACTCGGCGGTCTCGCGACACAGACGGCTCACGGGGAGGAAAGAACAGAAGCTAAGGATGGGGACGCGGGTAGGGGTGCCGTCTTCGAGTCTGGCGGCTCGCCCGGGACCAACGCTCGAGCCTCCGCCCCTCGGACGGGATCCGGAAAGCGCGCGTACCACCGCGTCGGCGGGCGGCGGAGCTGGCGGGAGCGGCACGACCGACGGCGGCGACGCGGGAGACCGTGGCGTACGCGTATCGCTCCACCGCCTTGTTGAGCATCGCGGTCACGCGCTCCTCGCGGCGCTCGAGCTTCTCCGCCGCCTGCGCCTTGAGCGCCTGCCGGCCGGCGTCGCGCGCGCTCGCCACCTCGAGTCGCGCGAACTCGACGAGCGACTCGCGCTGCCGCTCGGTGAGGCCCGAGTAGAAGTAGCCCCCCGAGTGCGCCTGCGCCGCGTGCTTTCGCTTGCGTCTGTCGTGTAGGGTGTTGGGCGGCCGGTCGAAGTCGTGCATCCGCATCTGCTGCGCCATCCCCGACACCGACTCAACTGTCGCGTGCCGCCACATCCGCATCAGGATGTCGAGGCAGCCGAAGTTCGACTCGACGCGGTCGTTGGTCGCGTGCGCGCCGGCCGTCGCAGCGTTGCGGCCCGGATCAGCGCCGACGGCGAACTTGCCCCCCTGCGACACGAGCATGCTCGAGATCGAGCGCCGCGGGTCGCGCATCGCGAACAGCGCCGCCTCGGCCATCTCCTCGGCGAGCGTGATGACGCGTGCCTCGCATTGGATGTTGCCAGCGCGCGTCGGCTCGCGCGCCTCTGCCAGCACCATCGCGTGGATCGGGTAGGACGTGCCGTCCGCCGCCTTGAGCTCCTCCTTCGCGTGCGCCGTGCGCCACGCCGCGAACTCCGGGTACTTGGCCGCGAAGGAGGCGAAGGGGTCGTAGGCCGGGTCGAGCAGCCGGCGGCCGTCCGCGGCGACGGCCTGCATCATGTCGTAGATGGCGTCGAGCAGCTCGCTCGAGTCGTCGAGCCCCCAGCCGAGCTCGCCGGCCTTGCCGGTGAGCCAGCGCGCCGGCTCGGAGAAGATGTACTTCCAAAGCACATTGACTCGCAAAGCCGCTGTCATCTCGTTGCAGCTCAACACGGTGAGGAGGAAGTTCTCGAGCTTGTTGTCCGCGCCCGGGACCTTCAGAGCCTGCAAGAACTCGAGCGCGCGCTGCTTGTTCCAAAACAGCGGCACCGAGCCGTCGAGCACGCCATCCTGCCGGTTCCCCTCCGGGCGCTCGTACGGGAGGTGCGGCGCCGAGGAGTGCACCGTCTTCGCCCAGGCGTCCGCCTCGCGCCCCTTGCCCAGAGCATACGTCTGCGGCGGGGCTGGCGGGGGGCGGTCAAACGCGCACATGATGCTTAGTGAGGCGGGGCTCGGGCGGTGCCTGGCTCGTGTGCAGCTCCTTCCCCGCCGCGTAGATCAGGTCGCTCACGGCAACACTCATCCGCTCGTACGCGGAGAAATCGTCGAGCGAGTCCTCGAGCTCCGCCTTGAGGGACTCGGTCTGCTTGAGCGACTGCGCGTTGATGATGATGTTGCGCTGGTGCTGCCCGCAGCGCCCGATGTACGACTTGACCTTGGCGTCTCGCTCCGCCTGCTCCATCCCCGCCCAGGCGGCCTCGCCGACCGCCGCCCTGCCCGCCGACTCCGCCGCCGCCACCAGCAGCTGCTTGAGCTTCTCCGCGCCGTTGCAGGTGTCGCCCATGATGACGGTGTGTTCGGAGAGGCGGTGCATGCCCAGCGAGTCGGGCGGCGGCCCGCCGTCCTGCTCCCAGCTGCCGGCGCCGAACTTGGCATCGTGGACCTTCGACCAGCCCGCAATACACGCCCGCCCGTGCGCGAAGAGCTTCTTGTCGACGAGCTCGGCGAGCGCCTCCGACGTGCCACCTGCGGAGAGCACTGCGCCGCGCATCACTACGTCGACCGTCTCTCCCGCCGCCGCCCCGTGCTCCTCGATCTGCGTATTGGTCGATACGACGCCGAGGCCGAACTTGCTCGACTCGTCGATGCCGAACGAGACGACGCGCTTCGCCTTGGCCACGCGCACGTAGTTGATGCACTCGCCCGCGATAGTGAGCTCCATGCGCCGCGCCCGCATCTGCCGCGCGGCCGGCTCGTGGTACACGACGTCGGGCGCCAACGCGTTGAGCACGTCGCTGATGATCTTGGGGACGGCGCCTGGTGGCGTGCGGCGCGACAGCGCCGCCCACTCCAGCGGCCGGAGGCGCCAATCGCCCGCCTCGAACCGCCCGCGCTTATTGCGGCGCTGCTGCGCCGCGCCGCCGCCCTCCTCCTCGTCACTCTCGCTCTCGCTCTCGCTCTCACGCTCCGCTCGCAGCTCCTCGACCTTGGTCTTGAGCTCCTTGACCTGGAGCTGCAGCCCGGGCAGCTTCGCCGCGTCGCCCTCGACGGCGCGCGCCCGCTTGCGCGCCCTCGCCACCTCCGTCTTCTTCACGTCGAGCGCCGCCGCGTGCGCGAGGCCGGCGTCCTCGAGCTTGGTTTGCCCGCGCAAGCCTTCTCG